AACAAGAAACCATCTAAGTGAGAAGTCAACTAAGTCTACATGGAAGAAACACACCAGCTTGTGTGATCCAAAGATGACAAACAAAATTCAAATCTGATGAAGGGGAAGGTAGCAGAGCTTAAATTGTGAATACTGAATTTGTACAAGGCTATGGAGGACGTAGTAGCCCAAAACCAATCTTCAGAGTATCTAGTCAGATTAAGCTGCTGGAAGATACCCTCTGGCCACAAGTAAGGGTCTTGAACAGCCTTACTATCAGATGGAGATCATCGTAATCTTGATTATACTAGATTGAACTTGATACTTGGTCAGTTGACCTCCTTCTTGACCCAACCTGAATTTGTTCTAGGTGCAAGTATTTCTTGCTTGTTCCATGACAAAAATTTCTTCCCTGGCTTTTAAAATATTGATGGTGGTCTTTTCTTTCTTACTCATTATTTGTACATTTATCTTTATATTATTATTATTCTATCCTTACCACTTTATTTTGCTTTTGTTTTTATATTGCTTCTGTTGGATTTTCCAGTTTGTGAAGCACAGAAGGAGTGGGTGCATAGAGATAATAACTGATACAAGGGTTTAAAGGAGATGTAGGGGTGTGGATGTGGGAGATAGAGAGGTGAGGGGGTTTGGGGAGCAAACAATTAATGTGGGAGTGGAGAGGGAATGCTAGAACTGATTGGGATTACACAACTCATTTTAAAAACAATTTAACCATGGGGGTGGAGGTTGTTCAAAAATTGATTGTGGTAATGATTGTACAAATTCTTCTTGATATGATTGAACTATTGAATTGTATGATATGTTGATGGTATGTCAGTAAAACTGTAAAACGTGTTGCTCTGTAAACTTTCACCCAAATCAATGTAAAAAACAAAAAAAAAAGGTGTTCTCATTGTCCATTCTGGAGATCACTTGGGCCTCTTCTCCTTCTACCCCTATCCCACAAAAAAGTTCTAGCGACGATGTACTATAGTTGATTAGCCCTAGTGATGTGTCAAGTTATACATTCTACTACTGGGTCAGCAGTTTGAACCCAGCAGCTGCTCCATGGAAAAAAAAGAAGGCTATTTGCTCAGGTGAAGCTCTACCATCTTGGAACCTCTGAAGGGCAGCTCTACTCTGTCCTGTAAGGTCACACTGAACTGGGATCGACTCCATGGTAATGGATTGTCTCTGGGTTGCCTAGGGATTGTCATTGGATTTGTCTTTCTGTTGTTTTTATTAGTCTTTGACGTGTAAACTGTTGTCCTAAATCTTTGCATTGGAAACATTCTTCACACTCATAATATTAAAAAACAAAACGTCGTTAAATCGACTATCTCATGGTTTCTTCCATTTGTGAGTCAAAGTAGAGCTGGGCTCCATGGGATTGATTCTGTGGAAGCAGATCGGCAAGACCTTTTACTCAAGGCATCTCTGAGCAGACTGGAACCTCTAAGCCTTTGGGTGACAGTGAAGGGCATTAAACATTTGCACCATCCAGAGACTCTATCATAAAACAGTGGCAACAGTTTACCGTCTGTATATTTGCGTTTGATGCATTAAATATTTTGGTTCCATAGATAATATATAAGGTGTGATCATAAAGCAGAGTTCCATATATGGTTGGTTGACTCCAACTCGGTTGTTTTTAGTTACAGTTTTTACCTCAAAGTACTACACAGGTACAACCTCCTTTTTACGATGTTTTGAAGATAAAGCACGTTTTATAAATGGAAGGCTTGGGCTAACCCTGTATTAATCAAGTCTATCAGTGCCATTTTCCAACAGCACGTGCTCATTTTGTGCTTCTGTGTCACATTTTGGTAGTTCTCACAGTATTTTGAACTTTTCCATGATGCTATTGCCCATTTAAAAGAATAATAAAAAATAACAAAATGACAAGTCCACATCCACTGTCCTGGAGCCGATCCCAGTGCAGTGTGACCCTGTAGGACAGGGTAGAACTGTTCTTTGGAGGTTCTAAGACTAGAGATTTTTAGAAACAGGCAGATTCATTTTTGTCCAAGGAGCAGTTGCTGGGTTCAAACTGCTGACCCCTTAGAGTAGTAGAATGTATAACGTAGCACATCACCAGGGCTCTCAATCACTTACAGTAGATTATAACTAGAACTTTTTTTGGGGGGTGGGGGTAGAGGGAGAAGGGGTTTAATTAGTGTCTAGAATGCACAACAAAAACACTTTATAATTTAAAATTTTTTTTACAGTGATTTAAGTGAAAGTGTACAGAGCAAATTGGTTTTCTATTCAATCATTCATACATCATGAATGTGGCAGAGCATAGAGAGGGGAAAGTTATGAAAACTTCCCAGACACAACTCAACACCAATGTCAATTGGCACAACATAGTCAACAAAGACAATGTTCTACAATCTATTTCGGCAAGCACCAACTAGGGTCTTACAAACTCCTAAATGCCCATCTTAAGTGCAACTATTGGTCTCTTCCTCTTTGGAGGAAAGACCAGAGATGACAATCAAAAGACACCCAGATACCATGAGTTCAATGGACTAAAGGACCACACAAATATCAGTCCCCACAACCCTGAGCACCAGAAGAACTAGGCGGTGGCTAGCTACCACTGCCATTATCTATTAACCCCGTTTTTGCCATGAATGTTTAGCAGCCCCTTCATATTGTGACTCTATCATAGCTACCTTTAATTGTCTCCGACAGCAAATTGTCCCTACTCCAAATGCAGCTCCCTTATCAGGCCAAGAAGCTTCCAGGTCTGTGCCAGTTTGAGGACCTTAGTTAGAATCTGCGGCCATGGTTCCCGTAACAAAGACACATCCCTTTAGACTCACCCAAAGGAACAAACGGCTTGGACGGAATACTGGGCTTAGAGATCCCGATGGCATTGACAGCAAAGATGCGAACCTCATAGGCCACACCTTCAATCATCTTCTTGGGCTCAAACGTGGTTTCTTTGCAGAGATCAAAATTGAGCCTCATCCACCTGGAGCTTTGCTTCTTTTTCCGCTCAATAAAGTATCCTGGAGTTGAAACAAATGGAAACTCCTTCGGCTTTCACAATGAAACTTGGCGGATATTAGCAATGAAAAAATTTTTACATATTCTCAGCACCGTAAGCTAAATAGTCACACATAGTTAAAACATTCATTATAATGTGAGATAGGTGATAAGGACTAAAAATGCTAGCATCATAAGATACATATAAAGATAAAATAACACAACTAGAAATAATTAAATTGTACAATTTATATATAGGCTGTAGTGATGTACACATTCACTATAATTGAATAATAGATTTGGACTGGAATCCCTTTCACAGAAGATAAGAAAGGGGAAATGACCTTTCTGTGAATCTCAAGATCGAGGAGAAAAAATTCTTTCCTTCGAGGAAGCGAATTCTTCTCCTCATTTAATCTCAAAGAAATTTCTTCATCAATATAATCCTATGGGACTGGACATTTACTGACTACCATGGTGTAAATTAGATACCTACTTATTTCAAAATTAGCTATGAGTATAAATAGATGCAGAGCCTTCAAAAGGTTTGGGGCAAAATGGAATACAAAGATAAAGGAAATGTCCCACAAACGTTCTGAAGTTCTCTCATGCAACAGAAAAGAGACCAATCAGATGATATTCATTAGCATTACGGAAACACTGACACACTACAGAGCGTCCCAAAATAGATGTCAATGTAAATGAATGTTTGAAGCCGCAGTACAAGAGGACTGGTTCTCAGTGGGATATCTACAAATCTGCTTAAAGAGGGCAGCAACTCCACTGGTAGTTCCATCGGCGGCGAGCGACAGTTACCTAAGATCGGAGACCCTCCATCGTTGGCAGGAGGCTCCCAGTTCATGATGCACCAGTCATCTCCGACGTCGGAAACATTGGGTGCCACTGGAGGGTCAGGGATGTCTGCCGCCAACAACAATAAAACGAGATAATCAGAGAAAATGAGAGAAAGAGAACAAAGAATATGTTCACTGGAAAATAATGGTGGTGTTTTTGGGTGATAATCAAAAAGTATTTTTTATTTCTAATAAACACAGTTGTATCCTTTGATTAAAAAATCACACTCAAAATGGAATACAAAGAACGGTGCCCAATTAAAAGAAAGATTTTCCTAAATTCCTGAACTAGGGTCACAACAACTGGGGGGCACACTCCAAGGGGAACTGAAGACTCTATAGTTCATTACCTAGAAAACTGTAACTGAAAAATGAATGCTAAATGTAGGAGATGGGTTTTCATTTGTTTTAACTACAGATGAAATTTCCACCAGCAGTGGCCCAAGGAGTTCAGTCCGGAAATCGCAGAACCACAATGTCTCTCCGTTAGAGGATTTAAAAGCCTGAGTGGTGAAATTCCAAGTTCGAAATGGCAAGGGACCCTGCCACTATGATTCAATGCTTGAGGAAGTGATGGTTTATTTGCTTTATTTTCGGTCACTTTAAAGTATGTTCTGTAAGAGAAGCTCATGAGACTCTGGAACACTGATAATCTACTAGAGCCATGGTTCTCAACCCTCCTTCATGCCACGACCCTTTCATACAGTTCCTCCTGTGGTGGTGACCCCCAACCATAACATTATTTTCGTGGCTACTTCATCACTGTCATTTTGCTATTGTTATGAACCGGGCGACCCAAGAGGAAGGGTCATTCCACCCCCAAAGGGGTCGAGACCCACAGGTTGAGAACTGCCGTCCTAGACCCTTCGCACTCGGTTTCAGGCGTAGCAAACAAGCATCGTAGATGGGCAGCTAGGAACTTCTGCAATCTTACCCTCTCCAGTGATTTGGATGTGAGACTTTATTTAGCAATTGTGTTTAGTGATGTGGAAAGGGCACTAAAGTGAGGGGCAAAAAGAAATATGTCTGCGGAGAACTAATGAGGGCCTAACATCCCCAAATGGCTTAACCTCCGTTACTCGTCCCTGTGATGAGGAGCCTCCTGGGCCAGAAAGGACCAAAAACGGAAATGATAAAAACAGCGTGTTTTCAAGGTGTCGAACGGATCACTGAAGACAAATGGGTGCATAAGCAAATGTGGTGAAGAAAGCTGATGGTGCCCGGCTATCAAAAAGTATAGCATCTGGGGTCTTAAAGGCTTGAAGGTAATCAGGCAGCCATCAAGCTCAGAAGCAACAAAGTCCACATGGAAGAAGCACACCAGCCTATGCAACCATGAGGTGTCGAAGGGATCAGGTATAAGGCATCATCAGAACAAAAAATCTTACCACAGTGAATGATGGGGGGAGTGCGGAGTGGAGACCCAAAGCCCATTAGTAGGCCACTGGAGATCCCCTTGCAGAGGGGTCTCGGGGAGGAGATGAGCCAGTCAGGGTGCGATGTAACAACGATGAAAAATACAACTTTCCTCTAGTTCCTAAATGTTTCTTCCCCGCTCCCACTACCATGACTCAAATTCGACCTTGTAAATCTGGCTAGACCAGAGGATGTACACAGGTACAGATAGGAACTGAAAATCCAGGGAATCCAGGGCGGATGAGCCCTACAGGACCAGTGGTGTGAGTGGCGAAACAGGGAGGGTAGAGGGAGAGTGGGTAGGAAAGAGGGAACCGATTACAAGGAACTATATGTGACCTCCTCCCTGGGGGACGGACAACAGAAAAGTGGGTGAAGGGAGACGTCGGACAGGGCAAGATATGACAAAATAACAATTTATAAATTATCAAGGGCTCATGAGGGAGGGAGGGGAAAAATGAGGACCTAATGCCGGGGAGAATGTTTAAGTGGAGAGAAAATGTTTTGAGAATGATGAGGGCAATGAATATGCAAATGCGCTTTACACAACTGATGTGTGTGTGGATTGTGATAAGGGTTGTATGAGCCCCTAATAAAATGATTTAAAACAAAACAAAACAGCGTGTTTTGCTTTTGCTGGCGACCCAGAGAAAGTTGTGAGAACCAACAGCCAGCAAAGCCTGTTCTAGATCGGGGCCTGTCCAGGTGGCGGCGGGAGCTTGTTCCTTGGAGAGCTTACCCACAACTTTGATCTTGATGCTCGCGTGTGCTTCTCCAGCTTCATTCTTGAGATTGATGTGGTAAACTCCAGAGTCGTCCCTTTCAGCCACATCAATGACCAGGGTGCTGCTGTCAGGGTAGGATTCTGCCCTTATCCGACCACTGCCCTCCATAATAGCCTAAGAAGGAAATAAATCAAGAAGGGGGCATGATCTACATAGCTACAAAGGCTGCTCTAGAGAGCCTTAGAAGCAAGCTTGACTTGGTGCTAAGGCCTAACTACATTTTTCTCAGTTTAATTATCTACCAACCTAACTGGCCATGGCACTATCATGTCATGTAATGCATGAGAAAGCTGGAAGCTTAATTTTCCCAAAGTCACACAATTAAGAAGGGAAAGGGTTGGGATTTGATACCAAAGCCTGTTAACTATGAACTCACCCAAGAAAACGTCAGAGGACTGAAATATGAGTGCAGAAGTATAATTCTAGGGGGAAAGAGCCTCTTTAAGTTAAGAAATTAGAAATACTGAAATGCAACACTTTGTCAGAATGGTTTTCTGCATTGAAAGGTTTGGATCTTTAGTATCATGGGACAACTCAGTTGGCCCCACAAAGATCCATTTGAGCAGCATCTGGGGTTTTAAAAGCTTGAAAGCAGTTGCCATCTAAGACATAACTATTGGTCTCTACTCATTAGGAGCAAAAGCAAAAGAAGGAAACAAAAATCTCAGAGAAGAAACTCATCTACAGGGCTAATAGCCTACACAAGCCGTAGCCTCAACTACCCTGAGATCACAAGAGCCCAGGTAGATGGAGTTGGCTACCATTACCAACCATTCTGACCAGGACAC